ATATATGTTTTATTTTATTTTATTTAATATAATTAATTTAATCCATTTCTGCGATGTACAAAGTAAGCTCCTTCCACAGGCAAACTGTCCTCAGACTATTCAAAACGTGGCAACTTACCTGTCAATGCAGGCATCAATGATTTTATGCAACAATGGATGTCGTGCCGTGCAACAAGGACTCTAATAGACATTACGGCTCAATGTCTGCAGTGTCTTATGCATTCTGATACGGAATCTTGTATTAAGGCATTATTAGATACTAGTGTGATACACAGTCCATATTTCGATTGGGTCGTTGCTCATGTAGGAAGCTGCTTTCCAAATACTGTGATCACGAGGGTATTATCATGTGGATTGAAAGACTTCTGTGCCATGGGCTATGAACATAATGTCAAGAATCCAAAGTTAAATTCTGTTGTCGGTATATTGGGACATTTAGCTAGTAGCCATTTTCAAGATATTAGAAAAGCACTGTTGGACTTATTTGAGGTAAGCTTATTATATAAGTTGTATGATGTATGTATTTCTAATTTAAGTCATATTATGTATTACATATATATATAATATATTTGAATAATTTATTTCTTAGTGGAGTTTGGAAGAAGATATAAGTCTTGATGAAGATACCAAAAAGCAGAAACTAGCCACTGTACCATTTCTTTTGAATTTGGCTTCACTTTCTCAGACTCTTTTAAAAGCAATAACTAGCGATGTGTTACAAATATGTATGTTTTTTAATAGAAATTACATTTAAAGTAAAGTCTAATGTTATCATTACAATTAAATATAGCTATAAAATAATGTTTGTTCTAGTGAAATCAGACATCATACCACGACTGACATTGTTTGCAGCAGATTGGTGTAAATACTTTGATAATCAACCAGCGGCCTTAATGGATTTGACAGTACACTTAATATTAGGATGTGAACAAGGCGCATCACAAATAATCAATGTATTACTAGATATAAGTTTAAACACGAGCAATGTCGGCTATCACAGCGTTAATGCGGCGCAAAATGTGAAAAACATTTGTCGGGAGATATTAGAATTGATTCTACAGGAGATCGACCTTTTACTGAGAACGCACGGACCTCAATCCGCAAATATTCATCTGCTAAGTTCTATCAAACAGGAGATATCGTTGATAGTACCAATGCTACTAAATCCAAATCCACTGCGTGTGCAAACGGCTGTCAGGCTGTTATGTTTTCTCAGAAGTCAAAATCCGAACATAGTCGTCTCCACAATATCTTACATATTGATGAAGGCGCAAACAATGTTCCATCTTGCGGCTTTAATACGTCTTATCACTAATAATGTTGTACAATTTCCTACGAATAAATCTGTAACTGAAAATATGCTTGCTGGACATGATTACTTTACGCAGGTCTTAGAGCAAGCACTCAGAGAAATACATTATAAAAACGTGATAGAAAAGGAGGAATCAAAACAGTTATTCAAAAATCTTATTCTGATGTTAAAGCAAGTGTCAACAGTTTAAAATAATTAAATATTTTATAGTTTGATTTAATAATTAGTGTCTCTTTCTATTTTACTTAGATGGGAAAAATCAAATAAGGTAGAGATATTGCAGTCACAAATGATTAGCAGAGCCCTTAGAGCTAATTTATATCAAATATCTTGTTTATTGATGAGAAGCGATGATTTTGATTTGGCGAATGATATCATTACTCTCTTGGATCTGTTAAGCACATCCGAAAAAGATCATATTTTCGATATAGAACTTATGCTGAAATTAACAAGGGCGATCATACAGTATTTCTTTTTGTGCATTGCTCAAACTGGTAATTAGAATTCTATAAAAAGCCTTATTTTTTAAGTAACAAAGTGTATGATAATGCAATTTTTTTAGATATTATAAAAAAAGAACAAGGAGTAAAGATGGTATGTCATTTACTGAAAGATTTAACATGTCATTCTACGTCCGCACGTGTATTGGCTCTTAGAGAGATACTAGGAAATAGTATCAATAATGAGCAAGCCAAATATTTTGGTGCAAAGGAAAAATTCGAGCCTCATTTTGAAGAGATGTTATTATTACATCAGAATCATAAACAGGTATAAAAATATGATAAAAGTACATTTAAAATATGCAGAATGTTTTGATATATGATCTCATCCTAGGTGACGAGTACCATGTTAGCACAGCGACATTCATCGGTATTTCACGCTGGTGTCATAGGACATGGTCCACGAAGACTTCCACCAGAAAATTCGATCGATAAGGAAATCATTACTTTAAACAAAATGTTGCTAATAGACGTTATAAAAGTAAAGAATCCAATAGTTTATTTTTAGTAAATCTCTAAATTTTATATTAAATATTCTAACATTCAATTTAAATTATTTTCAGGCTTGTTGCAGCAATCAGGATTCAGATCGATATCCAATTAACTTGGATGCTCTGACAATGGTCAGTTTATTGTTAGTTGAATTGGTATCGCCTGATGTTATGTACAATGGTTTACCGTGGCCTGACGAGGAATTTACAAAGGTATTATTTATGTTAATCGTTAATATGTTAATTTTCAATTTCACAATTAATTTATTGATTTTTTTATAATTAACTTCTCAATTGGAGGTTTTTTTCTGAGAACATTTACAAGATTTATTTAGCTTCAGATACTTTTGGATTAAATTTATGTTTTATAAACTTTGTTTCTGTCAGAGTAGAATATTTTTCCTAAATTTTCCCAATATATAATTAAAGAATGGCAACAAGTTCAAGATTTATTAAATTTAATTAACTAACTGAATCTTTCATTAACAAACAACTATGATATTGAACTATGCATCATCTCTAGCTAGTTATTTTAATTTTTAATTACTACAGGTCACAATAGAAAGAGATTTACAAATCCGTCGCAAATTCAAGGATGTTCCTCTGTTGTGGACATTGTTAGAATTGACTGCTTGGTATAGGCCGGCATTAGCATATTGTTCCGTTTTACTGAGAGGCATTACCGCGACTGTCATGGCTAATTGGAATACAGAGGAGGGCGTTTCGCTTGTCAATATAATGGCACTTGGTCAATTATTACCACCGCCGCTGGCGAGTATTAGGGATATCCTACCTGTTTTACAGCCTCATCAAGTATGTTTTTATTTCTACATTATTTCAATTAAATTCATACATTCGAATTTTTTATATCTCGCAAATGGCTCTGATTGCAGATAAATACAATAATGAGGGAATGTTTGTGGGCGTACATGCGTGAAAATGTGCCATCTCCAGCGCTATTTACGCGAAATGAAGGTACCAATATAGCTTGGAGAGATATCGATATGTCATCGCCCAATGCACGTTTTACAGATACTCTTCGTTTAGTATTATTGGCAAATATTCACACTTTAGGATCTTTGTATTCAACATTATTTTACAATGAAAATAAATAATATAAAATGCAATATATTTTTAAAATGTTTAAATTATTTTTAATTGTTATACGTTTTGTAAATACTAGCAATCGCATTTGACAGTAATAATATATATAAAACTTGATAAAAAATGAAATTGTGTTATCCATATCCTTTTTTTCCTTTTTTTTTTACTTTTATAATACATACTTATATATAAATAATTTCTCATATAAAAGCATAATCATGTTTTAATAATACTGATTGATACAATATTATCAAAATATTTAGCTCATATGAAAATCTCTCTCCTTCTGTCTCGATTTATCTTATAACATGTGTTT